GCATTCACCAGTAATAATGGATTGTTTTTCATGCTTTCCAGAAGATGACTGGACACTGTGAACATGGCCTAACGGAGTATACCTCTGCACAGAGCAGGACCTCTGCCTGTGTCCCGGATCTGACATCATGGCTCACGTGCTCTCACCAAGGGGACACGCACCAGAGGGTAAGAAAATGACAGACTCACCCACTCTGTTCCATCCTCCACTCCCTACAAGTGGCTGCCCAGGGCTACACCTGCACCTCACCAGGACGATGCAAACAAAACCTATAAGCAGTGGCCAGGGGAGCATAAAGGTGACCACCAGGTTTAAAATAATGACTCGGAAGAGATAATTTCTCTCAGTGATTACCAAGCAGACCAACTCACAGTGTTCAGCATGTTCTGCTCCACACTGGAGATTTTAAAGACAGTGGCTGATGTGCAAGTGACCATGGCTTGAAGAACAGCTAGTGATTTTTTTAAAATGGATATGACAGAGTCCAATTGAATATATTAAGAGAAGGCATAGCATCTTTAGGAATCTTACTAGGGTTGTGAGAATCATCTAAATGGGCTTAAAACTACCATCAACAAAATACTTTTGAAACAACAAGCGATCAAATTTAGTGCATGTTTATCAGTAAAGCTGCATTTTCAAAGTTATAACAAATTGATGTCTTAAACTACGCGATGGGCGCGGACAGTAGAAAAATCTAATGGTGAACATAAGAAAACCTGCAGATGAAGAAAAGGAGAGCAGAGTGGGGAAGTTAATTCACAGGGGAAGCTAGCCTTGCCGAGTCTGCAGCCAGGAGCGCAGCGTTGACACTTTGCCCAGAGGGAGCGGAAGGGCCCACGTGTGCCTCCCTGTGCCTCGTGGAGGTCTTTGGCCCAGGTCTCACTGACGGATCAGCCATCGTTATCTCCCAGAAAGGAAGCGTCAACACATGCTCAGTCTACTGTTCTATCAACAGGAGTGTCAGAAGCTGGGTCAAAGAGGACAAGGACCGTCTGCCCTCCAGTGAGCAGGAGTCTAGTAGGGCGAGGCCTGGCCCTGAGGCTGCAGTGCGTGCTCAAGGTTGTGACAAGGACAGACTGCTGAAGGTGTAGGAACAAGGGTGCAAAGAATCAGAAGAGACCTGAATGCCCCTAAGCGTGCGCTCCATGGAGCACAGAGCGGGAGGAGGGAAGAAGGCAGCAGGAAACCAGTCTAGAAGGATGAGGAGGGGCCAGATCAGAGGCAGGTGGACTGGGGCAGGAGCAAGCACTCAGGCCCCAAGGTCTGGCACGGAAGGCCCAGCTCTTCTAAGGACTGGCTTGCCTTGGCTAATCGGTGTGCAAGTGACAGTGGCCAGCTCCAAACCCTGGC